AGAGAGAGAGAGATGATGATGATGATGGCGATGACGACGCCGATACGGCTGCTGATGGATGTTGCCACGGTTTAGATTTAGATGGTGATGGGGATGATCCTGATGGTAGCGCCAAGTGACGATGATGATGAATGTCGATATCATGCTGCTGTGATGATATTCGGTTTTGCAACACTCATGACGATTTCTGAACGCAATTCGTTTCACTTGATGCTTAGGCTTAGATAGTGATGCTGATGCTGACGCTGGTTGTGAGGCTGCGACGTGTGATACTTCTGCTGCACTGCCGCACAGGAAAACTACGACTTTTTTGGTTCTCGTTACAGTTGAGGTATGTCATGGCGCTTGTATCTGCATTGGGACATGCTGAATATTAAATCCACCCTATTGCGATTTCTGTGGGATCGTGCTTCGCATTCAGTCAGCTCCATCCTCGCTATTTCGGTGGCCGATCCAGAGTGGTGAGGGTCAGAGAGTTTTGGGCAGCCGGTCTGGATCGTGGTTTGTCCGGCTTTGCGTCGAGCGCCGATCTGTAGTGCTACTTTGGTTTGTTTCAAAAAGGCGGTGCAGTGTCTGCAGTAGTGGCCAGTGACCAGGAAGTACTGCCGTCACACTCTTTGTGCCAAAGCTGAGAGCTTTCAAGCTCACCTGCCAAACGACGGGGACGGAAACCAATTGCTTAAACTTTATCAGTGTGACCACTGCCAATACTTCGGGCATGTTCATGACCCGGTTGACTCCCCATTTTGTTCCATTCGGATCCAAAGATGTATCGACGTATCGCCTGCAAGGAGAGGAGACCTTGGGACCTTTAGCTCCATGCTACAGCTGCTACAGTATTAGTTGTAGTAGTGTTGCAGTTGCAGTTTGTCGATGTGCAAGCATGACGAGCCTTGTTGGTACCCCTTTGGCCCAAGTGCAGAAGCGCAGCAGTCCCTTTGTGATTTCCTGCAGGAGAAGTCTGCTGTTCTTCCAAGACTTGCAGAAGAGGACCGGAAGGGAGCCGAGTCCGTACCGTTAGTGAAGTTAGTGGCAACTGCTCTTGTTTGCTACTCCAAGACTGCATGGAGCTTTGGTCATGTGGAGTGCATCGGACGGGACAGGATCTAGTCCAGTTCATGGTGAAGCTCAGTGTGGAAGGCTTTCCCCAGGCCGTGAAGGCACGAGTTTAGATGGGCTTTGCTTTTTCGGTTATGGGCAGGTGTACCTGGTGACGTTTGTTTGGTTTGTCTGCGTCGGCTCCTGTTGGAAAAGCTGGTTTCCTAAGGGTCCCTCTACAACAACCTAGAACTTGGCTGAACCCGGCCTTCGTACACCCGAAGTTTTCGCGACTTTTGGCATGCCACACCTTCCTCCACCGAGGGCGACTGTAAGACTGCATGCCTTATTAAGCCTATGCATCCCGCTCTGTTGCCATGGAAGAAGCATACCGGTCAGCCTGGCTGTGACAAGGCTCAATAGTGCCAAGCATAAAACTGAGAAGTTGGCTATCTCAATGGACGCAGTCGCCCTCGTCAAGCAATACTAAATGTGTTTGAATCTGAGTGGTGTGATCTTAGTTGCTCCGCTCTCTTTGAGCCTTCGTATGGCCGCTGCAACGCCAAGTGAACACAACATGCCAGATTTTGTGCAAATGTGCGAAGAATATGTGGACCAGGTGCGGCGCATGCAGAAGTACAGCGGAACCGTGGTGCGTGCTCCGGAGTGACGAGCCCAGATGTCGAAGGGCCATAGTCGAACGCTGTCGCCCGAAGAGCAAAGAGCGACCGGAACCAACCGCCAACCTGGCAGGTGGATCAACGAGTCGCCGGACAGCCCATGGCAAGTACCCAAGAATGTCGTACCAGGGATGGCTGTAAGACGGTGTATGGGCAGCGGTGGAACTCAGTGCAGCATTCTGCAGCAACGCCCATTCAGCTCTTTGCGCCTCCCAGGAAGCCAGGGACAGCTGTTTGCGCAGAAGTCGCGCGCCACTTGGGCGGCACCGGCGAGGCAGGTCTTTGCCGGCTACCTGCACAGTTGTTTTGACGGGGAGTTGATCAGACTCCCGTGTCGGGACAGGTGCTGCTTTTGCAGTCCAACTGCGGCCAAATGCGTTTTCAGCCGGGCGATCGAGTCACTTTCTGTTTGCCGAAGGCCCGCTTTTTTGATCTTGCTCGACTTTGAAATCCTAGACAAAAGCCATGTGGATCTCAGCAAACGTGTAAGTTGCTACAAGGTTCAACTGCGCGTACCCAACCGGTTCGTTACGTTGTGATTTTCATGTTATTTCTCAGAACTGGACTGCGCCAGGCGTCAGAAATTGGCAATCTTCCAGAGGCATTGGACATTCGCACCGAAGGATTTTTCAGCTTTGGTCCATTGAGGCAAAGCTCGTTATGCCGTCTGCTCGGAGTTTGCGGGTGTCTATGGGATGCAAGTGCCACAAAGATCTCTCAGGCTGGCTCAGACCGACAGGCCTGCCGGGTCTGTGCTGGCCTGCTGCAGACTCCACCTGCCGAGACCCGTTGGTGTTTTCCTCGGTTATCCTCGGTTCCGAGACGTCCAATTTGAAGCAAGTGCCTTCCCTGCCAACTCTTTTCCAGGCGATGGGAAGCAACTTGCACCACTGAACTTGGATCTGCACGCCTTCTCCAGCAAGGCTCTGCTGTTGGACTGTGGCACAAGCGAATCGACAGAGAGCCTTTTGGGCAGGTTGTGCTGTCCGGCTTAACCGCACCTGGGCCGCATGTTGCGATGCTGTCTTATCCTGGGAATGTGGTGCATCAACGATTGCAAGATTCCGTGAGGTTGATGTCGGAGAAGCAGAGCTGATGCGGTTCTTCTCAAAGCCAGAGCCCCAAACCAAAGGACTGCGGTGTCTAAGCCGAAAAGACACGACACCGGGTTCCTGGTATCCAAACTTCCCTAGCTGGAGCCGATCATCAGCTGTGATGCAATCAAAATTGGAGTGCCGGCTGTGTCGGACCGCAGTGTCCGGAAAGGGTTTTGTGGTCAAAGTGAAAGTGTCAACCCTGCTTTCGCCTGCTTGCATTGAGGCAAGGAGCGACAAAGGTGCGAACGACTTCGGGTCTCGGGATGATCCAGTTCCTGGTCGCTTCAAGTGTTCATTGCATGGGCAGAAACTTAACACCCCAAAGACTTTAAGGATGTAAGTAAGAGCCGTGCTTTATCTGTGCCACGGGCCGCTGGCTCGCATAATTGCAAGATGTGTAATGGTGCCATTATTGAGACTCGCCCCACCGCACTATTTTGGATTCTGGGTTTCGTTTGCAGCACGCCTTTCCTTCCAGGGCATTGTTGCTCATGCGCGAGGGTGCAGCTTCGCGCTACCGGCTCAGCATATTTCAGTGAACCGTGTAGGCCAGTTAACTTGGCTGTCAGATGCTCAGGTCCATCACATTTCCGACCTGCACAGATGTTGCCACGTTCGTGGGACGGTCCGCTCACGCTTTTGCAGACGATAAGGACCGCAGAGAGAATGCTGAGAGACCATACATACGTGTCGCAGGGGCGGAAGTTTGACCGTCCGACAGACTGGCTTAGCACTGACACGCCAGCAAGGCTCTAAGGCTCTAAGGCATAACACCGATGTGCCATGAAAGCCATCTGGCATGGTGCCGCGTGGACAGAAATACCTCCGCGGCGCCAGTAGGAGCTTTAGAACTTGGATCCCTCGCTATTGTACCTTGAACTTAAACATTTTGTCAACACCAACATGACTCTCTCGTGAGTCGTGCATAATTGAAGATACCGAAAAATGAAACTGCGAAACACAAAACAACGCCAACGACCTGAGCAGCAACGACCAGATCAATCACACCGATGTCAGCGACCTGTTGAGACAAAGGCTCAGCTTTGTTTGTCTCTTTAGGTTGTTTTTGGTTTATTGGATTGTCCGAATGTGGTACATAATCGCCGAATGTGGTACATAATCTCAGATTTTCGTGTGTGTGGGTGTTTTGTATTTGGCTTTTGATTCTCCGAGTTTGGCATAATTTGATGCCAGGTTTGGCTTTCTCGCTTCGGTCCCTTTCGGCTTCAATCCGCTCACATGCGAGCTTTGGTTCATCCGGTTCAATTGCGGTTACTGACATTTGCCTGCTGTATCCGACCGCCTTCATGATATGTACATCACAATGTGGGCACGTGGGTCATCAGGGCCATCGGAGGGGTACCATACATATGTATGTACCTGTATGTACTTATAGACTTATAGATACAATATTTTTCGGCGTTTCCGTGCGTTAGAGGTGTACGCCACCTAATCATGACGCAAGGGCACCTTGCGGGCATGAACAGGCACTGCAAACGGGTGCCTCCAGACATCCTCTGGGGCCAGCTTGAACACAGCTGTACGGGTCACGTGGCCATTCACTCTATCCGCCAAAAGGGCTTCCCAAGCACAGGACGTCAAAACCTTGCAGAAGTCCGCAAGGGTATGAACCTCCATTCACTCTATCCGCCAAAAGGGCTTCCCAAGCACAGGACGTCAAAACCTTGCAGAAGTCCGCAAGGGTATGAACCTCCTTGCTGGGATATGCAAGCTCTCATTAGGTTGTTCTTGTTGGCCTTATCCTTGAAGCTGCTGAACAGCCAGCCGATCAGCTCACCAATGTCCAAAGGGTTTAGATTCATTTTGTAGATAGACCTCTCAATGCTGAAAACCTGGGTCGAACCACTCTTCGCACCCTCACACTCCACTTGTAAGCGTTTTGCATCTCCCGCCTCGGCCGGACTGAACTTCGAAACTCGTGCGCCTGGGAACTGCAGGGAACAACTTCGAAGGGAATGCTGTGACAGTCATTTTAAATCTAGTGCTAGTTTGGCACTGGAGTGAGTAGATCTTCGCCCCCATGAGTTTGGAGAAGGCAGTCGGACCAAGCAGAGCCGAGCAACATCTCAACTGCAATGACGCGTCCACTGTTTGGCTGACTCTTCCGTCAGGAGACTCGCATTGCCCTCCTGCTGACTCGATCGCCGAACCACTGCCACTAACTCGATCGTTCGGATCATTGACTGTGCAATCCTTTGACCTTCAGCTTCCGTGCCTAGCTTCCAAGGTCATGCTGCTGATGAGGCCCCGGAGACGCCATTTTTTCGATAGTTCGCTGGTTCAGGCTAGGCTAGTCACGGCTAGTCGTTCTTGAACGAGGCCCGGCTGCCAGCTCTTCCAGCTCCTACAATTCGCCCGGGCGAGGTGAGAAGAGGGTGAAAGCCATGCCAACATTCGGCGCTTTCAAACGCACGTCGTGTTCATGATGCCGATCTGTTCCAGTAACATCCAGTAGCACCTTGTGCCCTCGAGGCACCTGCTTCCATTTTCGTAAACTGGGCCCCCTTGCAGCTGGCCCTGGGTTATGCCTCGGCCTCACATCATGACTGTTTGGGTGTTGAAATCTTGTTACAGAGCTTACATTCTGTCAGGTGGTCGAGATTCGTCCAGCTGGGACGAAGGCATGTCCATAATGTGAAAATCAGGCAGTGTCATCAGTCGAACGGTTCCTTGAGGCAGAGTGGGCGGCAGTGGACGTGACCGGGCATTTGGGCACGGAGCAGGGGCACTTTGCACCCAGCTGTTCGTCCTGCAAGGCGCGCATGCCAAAATCCTTTCTGCATATGTATGCACATGTATGCACACACTCCCGCACATCTGCAAAAATGTGTGGTGTCCATATCTCCACCGCCCAGTCGTAGCAGTTTGTTATCTCCCTTTCTCTGATGCCTCCCAACAAGTCCCTCGGAGTCGCTCAGGCCAAGGATGTTACAGGTATCAGATTCCTAGATCTTGTGGCGGCTGTCGTGTCCTTATTGGCAGACAGCACGGAGCCTTTGCAGGTAGCCGGCCTTCGCCCGGGCTATGCATACGAGGCCAGGGACATCCAGGGATGCTAATTGGCACTCCGGCCCGAGTCAGAGTGCATTCAGGGATAACTTACCCAGCACTATACACTATATATATATACACAGACACACACACACACACACATATATATATATATATATATATATATATATATATGGTTTCAAAGCCATCAACACAGGAATCTCCGCTTTCTGCTCCGATCAAGATGCGAACGCCGAAGTGCAAACCTGCGCAAGCTTGCGCAAGTGGGCAGCATGCCAGGCACGGGTGACGTATGTCTCGTCATGTGGTTGCCGTTCAGAGGCCAGTTGCTTGACTCCCATGAAGTACTTACAAAATCGGGCGATGCCACATGCCGGATATCATCAGCATTCAGGCATCTGATGCCTCGCAACCGTGTGCCCCATGCAGCAAGCTCGGCTACAACCGCAATCTGAAGTCAAGAAATCTTGTGCGTGGCCACGAAGGCGAACAGCGGATCGGTCGCAGCGCTGCTGGGTATCCAGTGCAGGTTGTCATGTCCGATAGCCTTCGCTGGGGTGCAGCACGGTGCTGAACCTCCAAGTGCATGACTGTACGAGTCATGCAGGACGTTGCTTGGCCGGAGGCCTG